GACTAGTAATAATTCTTGTATACGACTACACGAGAAGTAAAAAATGAAAGGCATTTAATTAAGATGAATAGGATCAAATCCATTCCAATTCATATATTTAAATTAAACATTACGATACTCATTAATCCATTGTAGCGTAAATTTCTCAGAAAGTTTTAAATCTAAAGATTTCAGGGCCTGACTGATCGGGCTGTACTGAGAAGTCTTTTTCAAAAATAAAAATCTATTTTTCGAAACTGAATTTTACTAAATTTTGATGTTGTAAATTCCTCCTACGACAATACACGATTATATTGTTTTAAGAGGGTTGTCATCACATTACTTGCGTAAATGTTGTTACACATAAACATCTTCGCGTAAAAAATTCAATCTTGCGGTGCTACAACAGGACATACTTTCTCACATTATTTGCTACGATTACGCAGTATAATTCTAGTTGAACATGTTCACAAACCGCAAAAATATTTCCTCGTGCTGGGGTTTGAACTTGAGCAAATAACTCCTCGATCGCTACCCTTATCGCTTTCACCTGCAGCAATGCTTAAATATACCATCAAAAAGAAAGTTGAACGTTTGCAATTTTCGAAATTCCGGAGATTTTAATGAAAATAGAATCTCTATCATATTATTAAGCCTTTGTATCTTTAAAGCAAAAAAATATGAAGAAAAATTTTGTAGCATTTTTTAGAACATTTTAAACAAATTTTCGAGGGGATTCACGTAAAGCATCCCCAAAATTTTACGTCCGTCATAAATTTGGACTTCCGATCGATCGGGGTATATCCGTCTACGAAAGGACGGGCGGACAGATATACTTTTTTTGAGAAAAAAAAAACAACAATAAAATTGTCTTCAGCGTTACCCAAAACGTTACCCGTTACGATTTTGTGTAGCATTAGAAAACATTCTCTGCACTGTAGATGTACCGAGAAAGCAAAAATAGATACTTGATAAAGTGAATTTATTGAACTTTGAAGTTATGTCGTTTCAAAAACAATCTATGATTAGTTGATTTTAGCGATGCCGTCCTTACACGGTCTACGCAATTAAGGGAAAAGGAATTTCGTAAATTTCCTCATCCTTTTCGAGGACAAAACAATTGTACATTGTTTGCTTAGTTAAAAAATATAATGGTTATTATTATTATTATTATTATTATTATTATTATTATATTATTATTATTATATTATTATTATTATTATTATATTATTATTATTATATTATTATTATATTATTATTATTATTATTATTTTCTTTAATTGCTCATTTGATTTGTTTCTTTTATACTTATATAACATCCTGGAATATAAACTGTTTATGAACACATCGGTATTTTTGTTCAATAAAGAGTGAATCAGCATTGACCTTTCACTCTCTATTATTAGTCGGCCGTTCAGTTTTCGATATTTTGAAAATTCTGCCATCACTTCTCGATGCACTTGACACTTATTGGTGAGTAATTGTACAAAAAATAAGAATAAGAACTATCGAATTTCGGTTATGCCCACCTTGGAAAAAGCTACGTGCACGGAACTTGGCCAATCTACCAGCTTCCTTTTCTCAGCGAGTAGTATCCCGAGTGCGAAGAGGTGCCTTGTCCTTCGAGGGATCACGAATTTCCTGACGGCGAAAACGGACGGCTCAAGTGGGTCGTCTCGCGTGTTCTGAGCTCTCGCGACACGCCAATCCACCTAAGTCATCAGGGAGTTTATCCCCCATTATCCAATTTCTGCCTATTTCAATAGCTCGTTGCCATTCTCTAATGGAACAGAGCGTCCCTTATTTATGTCACACGAGACCTCTGGAAATAGTACGCATTTCACAGTATGTGTTGTACTTGAAACTACAGGTCATTCAAAGGAGTGTAATACAATCGTCATTAAAGTGCTTTAGTATGGGTTGGTTATATCACAATGTATCCGGCCATCTGCAATGGTCGCCAAAGTGGAAGAAAATTGAAAATATGTTAGAGATTAAAAGTAAGCAGTTGCTGACTTGTCGATTCGTTGTCACAAAACTGTTGTAACTATTTGGCAATACACGCTCATTTTAATTCTAATTTTATGTTGCTTGACTTTCTCGAATAAAGTGAGGTAGCTACCAAAACAATTTTTTTATAAAGTGGCAATATAAAACTTTTATTGTAGTTATTCAAATTCATTAAATAACATGACATAAACGTCCCTTTATGTATTATTTTATTTTTAAAGATTATACAAATGTTTTTTAAAGATCTCTCACGTCGTTAATATTTTTTACAAAATTTTTTACAGATTATTGCATTTATGAGTACAAGTTCTTCAAATGATACCTAATGATGTCTCACGAAAACTCAAAACTTTCCTGTGAAAATGAGCTCAAAGTTTTGCTTTCTTTAGATACGTTCAAATGACATTTTCTCAAAAACTATTTCAAATTCTTCAATGAAAAGGTGCATAAAGGACCAGGTTTTACACTTCTATAATATTCTTAAAGTCATATTTCAGTTCTAATTTTTATTTATTTATTTATTTATAGCAATTAACCTCATATGCAAGCATGGGTAGACTACACTGAGAAAGGCTTCTTGAGCAGCCACTTCGAGGAGAATTTCTCTTTAATTACTAACACTAGTCAGTTTATTCTTCACACCATTTGTTATTTAGAACCATTAATCAGTACTTTAGTATTTTCGCCACTTGTACACTTAACACACTGCATGTTTATTGGTTTGTAAATATTTCGCACCAAGATTTCTATTCTACCCTGTCTTTTGCCATTCTCATCCATTGTCCGCCTCGTCCATTGTTCCGGAAGAGGTAGTTCACGACATCAACTGATGTCACTGCCGGGCCTCTGACTGAGAGATCCTAGGTTCGAATCCCGACGGTGGCAGGTTGTCCGACATTAGCTAGATAGCTAGGTCGAATTGAAGCGTTGTCTGGAGGAGAAAATTAAGGGCCGGTTGCTCTGATCGGTTGTTTTGCGTGGTTTCTGCGATCAGTATCAGGTGAATGGCGGAGCAGAATCTTCACAAACAAGCCACGGACCGCACGAGATTTATCCTTCCTCTTCCTTTCCCTATCCTCATCCCTTACCTACACTTACACGCACTACACTATCATACATACCGGGAGACCGGTCGGGAACTTAGAGCTGGCCCGGCTGGGCGGTGCCCGTTGGTGTGAGATACCTGCTTGAGGGGAACCCCCGTTAGCCGACGGTAGGTCGGTGCCGGATCTCACCATCCAGCGAGGGAAGATCACAAACAACTCTCAAGGGAAACACATGCACAACTCTTACGGGATCCGTTGACGCGCTCGGAATCAACAGTCAATCAATCAATCAATCAATTAATCGTTTCTTCGAAGTCGTCTACACACGTTATTCTCTGTTTGTCCACGAGTACATGCCTACTTCTCCTTCTCGCGAGTCAAACGATGAGTCCATCGTTCTTGTTGGATAACCTATCCTCCCCATTTCCGTTTCCGGAGATGTTTTTCCTGTTTGGGAACTGTTTTAGGTTCATGCAGCATTATAATATTGCATAGCCGTTACAAGTAATGCGAGAATGTAAGTGCTGTTGTTGCATCACTCGTTTTGTTTCGGTCAAACTAATACCGCAAGCCCAAGTAACTCGTTTTCACGGAAGGTGTGTAAAATAGATTGTAAGTCGGTATTTGTATGTTAATGTATGCGTGACAATTTTTTCGCGTTTAAAAATATTTTCCAAGTTGATTATTAAAGTATATTATCGAATTGCTGCGATGTTTTGACTTGTTTTTTAAATCTAACTCGTACTGTGTATTCACTAACTGCGTGGACGGCAACGGGGGCATTAGGTTGTCAGATTAATAAAATGTATTTCTCTCGTCACTCGTGTAGAAAATCAGAATTGAAATTGCTAATTTACTTCGAAAAACTTCTAAAATTGTAGGCTCCATCTTGCTTTTTTTTCGCTCGATAATTTTAGTGGATTTTCAGATTTACCGCTGGTTTCGAGAATGCTTTTAAAATAAAAAATTAAACGTTTTAAAGCGATATATTATTTCTAATGTTAATACAAATACTTTTTCACGTCTGATATTTATTGGAAAGCGTTTGGAACAGCAAGGAGTATAAAATTAAGGAATACTCCTTGCGTATGTTCTTGAGTGTATCGTAGTAAGAGAGGAATGAGGATTCGAAGTCAAGGGAAATACCGACATTTAAAACACTACATTTGATGTGTGATGTGATTTGAAGTGCTGTTTGTGTCATAAAAAATCGCGGGTACATGATTGGATACTTGACCGTCACAGGTAGCGTAGGGATTTTTGACTGTTGGCCTCGCAGACGGCTGATTTTAATGTCAAAGTCAACTGTACCACCTTGCCACATTTTTGTGAACCACTCCGTCATAATTTTGTGACCCATCAACTTCTGGAGTCACTTCCCGCCACTCATGCATGTGAAGGTACATAACGCGCCAACTCGCAGCCACCACCTGTTCGTGTTGCACCGGCTGAGCTTATTTGATATCCCTGCAGTGCTTGTGTTCGGGAGGTTGTAAGATTCGACTCCCGACGGTGATAGGATTTTCGACACTAGCTACATAGCTTGGTCGAATTCAGCTACTGCCTAGAGGAGAATTCAAGTAGCCGGCTGCTTTGATCGGTAGTTTTTTGTGGCTTCTTCAATAAATACCGCCGAAGCCGCTGCAGTACCCTAACAAACTAGCCAAGGACCGCGCGTGACTTATCCTTTCTCATCCTTGTCCTATCCTCACCCCTTACATTCACATACACTAACACGCACTTCACTTCTACACATATCCGGAGCTTCGAGCTTGTCTCGGCTAGGGCGGAGGTGAGAGATACCTGGGTGGGGAAATCCTCGGATTGCCGGATCTCGTCTTCGAGCGGGGGAAGGTCACCGTCACCTCCCGCAATAAAAACCTGCCCTGTATTTACGGGACTAATGACCTAAGCAGTCCTCGCGTCCGGAATCACCAATCAATCAATGAATGAATCGTGTTGCAGACGGTGCGGCGGCGGCGAACTCCGGCTCGAGCAGCTCGAGCGCCACGTGGGGGCGCGAGGGCAAGAACGGCAAAGGCGGCTCTGAGAACGCCAAGGCGCCGCCAGCCAAGGCCGAGGAGGCCAAGCAGCAGGCGGCCTCCGCTCCAGCGGCGCCCCAGCAGCAGCCGCAGCCGGCCTACAACCCGCACGCGCCCCCCGCGCCCGCGCCCGCGCCC